AAATGCTGCTTTCTGAACACTGTGATACGAACTGGATTTCAATGTGATTGTGCAATCTGAATATTGTCATCTCGCTTCTGTTCATTTTCCTTGCAATTTGGTATTGGAGCTGGTTCGAACTGCGCTCTTTGGTTCTTTGCAATAGCTGTTCGGTGCCTCGCATGAGGTGTGGGGCAGTGATAAGGCTTGGGCGTTGAACGGTAGGCGGCCCAGGGTCGTGTGGGCGCGCCAGGAAGCTATGTGGTGACATTAGGGGTGTACGCTGGATGATGAGAGCTCGCTGATGTGGCATTTAAGCCGAGGTGGAACTGCATTCTGCTGTTGGTTGTGCCGAGGCCGGTCATCATAAATGCACATCCGGTTGCTGGTGTACGTTGCTTCCGTCCTTATCTACCCTCTTCATTACTTCTTACCGTGAGGAAGTGAGTTCTGTCTTGAGAGTCCTCTCAATCTGAGGTGTCGCGAGCACTCAAACCTTGAGAGTCGACATTCTTCCTGGGCAGCAAGCTGGTGGGAGACGGGCGATGCCTCTGAAGGGCCCTGGACGAAGCACTCGGGGCACGGTCACCATGCCAACCCGCTGGGACTAGTACACGCATGCTTTGCCGCAAGTCCTTGGTTCTGCTGCTGCGCAATAGAGGTCATGCAGGGCATGCCAGCCCTTTGAACAGACGCTTACCAGACCGTCTCTMAATATTTCTGGCGGGGACTCGGTGTTGATTCTGGCTGTGATCGTCGTCCTSTCTGCGAYRTTAAATAATTCCTGAGGAGTTACGGGGGATCTCCTTAAATGCCTCCTGATCAGCCAGATCAAACCGGGTGTAAGGCTTGTTGCATGCGAGGATAAATAATGTGCAGGGGCTGGCAGGTTCGGCGTTGACTTGGGGCACAGGGGTGGGCCGGATTGCACACCTTTAGACACGCTGCTCAACCAGATGCCTAGGAACGTCGACACAAAGAGACTACTCAAGAGCGATACAGGGAAAGGGTTGGATTCCGGTAACAGTTCATGGTGGCATTAATTAGATAAACTGCCATCCAACATACATCTCTGCAGGGAGCATCATTTTTGTTTTTTGATTATTTAGTTGTTACGGACTTGACTAACAACTGACAGACAACTGCAGATAGAGTAGTATATTCTTTGCTGCATTGCAATCTGTATTAGAGTAATCTAAAAATAGATTTAATACTCCCTGTAGGATCTGACACTGGGTGACACCTAACCACCTAACTGTTTCTGCCCAGGCCGATCGAAGTTGGTTGTGTATCCTAATCGGTTGTGTGTCATGCTGAGGTAGGATTCAGTGTGGATTCTAGTTTAGATCATACACACTGTAGCTCATGAGTGATGCAAGCACTAGTGAGGAAGAGTTGTTAGTGGACGACCGTAGGACTACTCGTAGAACTGCCCTCATTCGACCTTTGACTTTCCTAGAGTTAGGTCCAGGAGACGAGAGGAGACTGCGGAGAGAGTCTAGAGAGAGAACAACAACAAGAAGAGTGAGGGTGGTTGAGGCCAGCGCCAGGTCTAGAACTACAGCTAGCACTGGTACGACCATGGCTGCCTCCTCTACCATGTCCCAGGCCTCTTCACAGGCCGCTCCGTCAGGAGTCAGTCAGAGTGGTTCTCAGGCTTCCATTAGCCAGAGTGTTGGCTTGCAAGTCAACCAACAGACTCAACTCACACCAGAGGATTATGAAATCCTCCAAGCAGAAGAACTTCAGGATGAGCTACAACGACAATTGGATGAGGCAGCAGAGAGAAGAAGAAGAGCAATCATGAGAAAAGCTAGACTGGGTAGTAGATTGCAGGAGCTAAGCAAATTAGAAGCATTAGATGAGTCGACACTTGACCCTACGATGCGAGCGCTGCGTAACTCACTCCTGTGTGTGGCAGAGACGCAGGTTGTTCAGCAGGAGGCGTTGGCTGAACTAGTGGCAGGCCAGAAACGAATTCTAGTTGCACTACAGGTTCCTCGTCCAGTGATGAGGCAGCCTCAGTTTGTTGTAGCTCCCCCATCGGTTGTGGGTCCGTCGATGACGTCGTCGCCGGTTGGGCCCTCATTCTCGCCTATGTTTGGCATGCCCCCTCCAGGTGGTTACGTGGCGACTAGTAGTCCGGTCCCTGCCGTACCATCGACGACAGTGGTTACTACAGTCCCACTGTCAAGCCAGACCCAGGTTAGTGTGCAGCAACCTGTTTCGGTGGCTATACAGCCACTGCAGCAATCTCCTGGGCCATGCAGCCTATGTAGTGGATGCCCAAAACACCCTTGCTGAGTCCTAAGCCCTTCTCCGGCGACAGGAAAGGATGAGGACTTGGATACCTGGGTAAGGACGGTGCCTACCTATGTGAGGCACAAGCTTACCAGACCGGAACAAGAAGTTGTAGTGGCTGCCTCCTTTCTAGAGGGGTCAGCAGCTCGCTGGTTGAATGGCCTAGTGCAGCAACAAGGCTATGGTCAGAACTTTGATGCCTGGACCCAGACCCAAACATTGGAAGAATTTGTACGGTCCGTGTATAAGAGGTGGCATGACCCTCAAGGGGCCCAAAAGGCCACAGACGCAATCAACAGTCTTTGTACTAGAAGGTACAAGAATGTTCGAGAGCTCACGGGTACCGTAGAACATCTGCTCGTGGTACCTGGTGTGCGCTATGACCACCAGGTTCTCCTCACAGATTACCTAAGATGTCTGCCTTCAGAGGTTAGGACAAAGCTGGTAGATGAGGCCTATGTCGAACAGCACAACTTCGCTTCATTCAGCAAGAAGGCCTTAGATATAGAGGCAAAACTGGGGTCCGCACATCATAGCCAAGGAGATGGTAGGAAGAAGAGACTACCCCAGGACTAGAAGAAGAAAGGGCAATTAATGTTCGTCGACCACGATGGTCAGGCGACAGAAATTGACGACTTCCCAGACCTTGGGGAGGAGACAGAGCACGATGGGGCCAACGAGACTTCGGATGGGGGAGTCGTGACACCCATCAAAGAAAAGGCTAGGGGGACCGGGAAGAAGAAGGTAGGCCGCTCTACGGGTCAAGGCGACCAAGGAACACCCGCATGGGGGAAACTTGGTTTAGAGTATGAGGTGTGGAGGGACCGAGCTGCTAGGGGTACGTGTATGAACTGTGGCAACTATGGCCACACGTCCAGAACATGCCGAGGTAAAAAAGTCCTAACGAGGGTAGCCTCTCCAACGGTGGTGGGACTATCTTCGAACGTTGGCGGTGCGTCTGCGAGTACTTCGCAG